GCTCAACGGACGATCAGTGGCGATGCATCCGCCCCTGAGCCAGTGATCCTCGTAGTCTGATTTTCGGGTAACTCGAGACCGGCCGCTCAGGACGATCTAGGCACCCCCACACGCCCCTCGGCGGGTCAGCAGCTGTATCCCGAGGCGGGAAAACCTGTGAGAGCCGGCGAAAAGGCCCAACAAAAAACGCCCCAAAACCCAAACCTCGATCTCCTGACCCTGTGCACCGCAACGTGGCCCCTGGGCCATCGCGGTTCGCGGGTGGCCGAAGCGTGCCCCGACGGCGAGGAGACTGTGCAAGCTGCTCCCTCAGTCCCGATACAGCCTGCAGGAGCCTCACTGTGCTGCACGGGGGTCCCCGCCAGGACCTCCTTGCACAGGTATCGGATCTGAGCGGGCAGAAGGCGTCGACGTGGATTCAGAAATAACGTAACGGTGCCCCTGATCCTGCCCCTGGCGGGACCGGCGCCCGCCGCGCCGGCGCAGCCCAGGGCTCCTGCAAAGAGGCGGCCTCCGGCGCCCCAGCATCTGCGGGGGCCGCAGGGCCGACCTCTGGCGGGTGGCGCCGGTGGGCCCACCAGGCAGACGAAGACGACTACAACAACGACGACGAGGACGACGACGACGACGACAACGACGACGACGACGGTAGTGGTGTGGCGGTGTGGTAGTGGTGGTGGTGGAGGTGGTGGTGGAGGTGGTGGTGATGATGATCATGGTCATGGTCATGGACATGGTCATGGTGGAGATGGTGATGGGGATGGTGATGGTGGTGATGGTTATGGTCATGGTCATGGTCATGGTCATGGTGATGATGATGATGATGATGATGATGATGATGATGATGATGATGATGATGATGATGATGAAGCCGACAATGATGATGATGGTGGTGACGCGAATGATGGTGATAGTGATGGTGATGGTGATGATGACGACGGCAATGATGACAACGGTGGTGATGATGATGGCGATGGTGAATGATATACATTTTCATATATCGACAATGAGAATGGTGATGATGATGCGAATGGCAATGATGAGGTTCATGGTGAAGGGAATGATGATACTGATGGTAACGATGAAGAAAAAAAACATGATGATGACGATCATAATGATGATGGGAATGGTGATGATGAGCATGATGATCATGATGGCACTGTTGACGACACTGATGATGACGAAGGAGTCGACGACGACACGAATGACGACGACGACTTCGACGACGGTGATGTTGTGGCGTCGTGATGGTGGTGATGGTGATGGTGATGGGCATAATGATGGTGATGATGATGACGAAGATGCTGACGATGGTACTGGCGACGATGATGATGATATTGATGATGATGGTGATGACAATGCTGCTGAAGGAGGTGAATATGATAATGGTGATGATGATGGTGGTGATGATGACGGTGATGATATTGGTCATAAAGACGGTGATGATGGCGACGACGATGATGGTCACGATGATCATGATCATGATGGTGATGGTGGTTATGGTGATGAATGTTGATGATGGTGATGATGATGATGATTATGAAGATGAGGTTGAAGATGGTGGTGATGATGATGATCACGGCGATGATTCAGTGATAAAACTAGCGATGTTGATCCTGACAATGACAACGCCGCCTACGATGATCAGGGAGTCGATCACGACAACGACGACAACTACGATGACGATGGCGGTGTGGCGGCGTGGTGGTTGTGATGGCGGTGATAAAATGGTGACGATAATGATGATGAGTAGGACGTTAACTAGTACGAAGAGGATAACGACAATGATGGCGACGGTGATGGTGATAATGATGGTGATGATGGTGATGCTGATGATGTGTAAAATGGAGAAAATTATGATGATGGATGCACTGATGGTAGTGGTGGTGATGAAAACGGTGGTGATGATGGCGATGGCGACGGCGACGATGATGACGGCTACGGACAAGATGGCGATGGCGACGATGACAACGATGGCGATGATAAATACAATAACGATTTCCTCCACACAGCCCCGATATTCGACACATGGAGGAGGATAGCGGGAAGAGCGGACGTAATTTATGGCGGACGCTCGGGATGAATCCGTCTGAACCCACGCCTCCCCGTCGCGGGGCAAGTTCCCACTGCCGAACGCAGGGCGGGCGGGCGGGAACAGGAGATGGCGCAGTCAAAGCAGCCGTGGTGAGACAGGAGGAGAGAAAGAGAGAGAGAGAGAGAGAGAACGGCAGGGGGGGAATTACCCGGGAAAAAAGGCACCCCCCCTTAACTGATACGAATTCCCCCAGACAGCCCCAATCGATGCTCGCACGTGGAAGGAAGTAGCGGGAGGAGCGGGCGCATTCGATGGCGGACGCTCGGGGCGAGTCCGTCCGGGTCCACGCCCCCGCGCCCCAGAAGGGCGCCGCCCGGCCCCTCCGCCACTCGCGCGCCCCTCCGCAACCCTTCAACCGCGGGCGGGCGCCACCTCCCAACCCTACGTCGGTCACTGCACCGCGGCCCACCCGCAAACTGCAAAGAAAACAGGCGGCCGCCTCTGGCACAGCGGCGCTAGCGCGGTCGCCCCCCTCCAGGGCCTGGGCCCCGCGGCAAGGGGGACCCGCCCCTGGCCGGGGCGCGCGCAAACAATCAAGCCGAGGTCAGCGGGGAAACCCCCCTGGCGAGCCGCCCCTTCGGCATCCAGCGCACTTAAAAATTGGGGCATGAGCTCCACCGCACCCCCGGGTCGTCGACCCCGGCCCCGCCCGCGCCCCCCTCAGGGCGCACGGGGGTTGCCCTATTCGCGCTCCGCCGGCGCGCTTGCCGTAAACCGCGCCCTCCCTTAAGGGTGCCTTCTCTTTTTCCCCTCTCCCTGGAAGGTTCGGGACTTCCCTCCCTAGCGCGGAAGCTTTCCAAAGCTTGCCAGAGGAGTCTGGCACCCGGAGGGCCTGAGTCCCGCCCCAGCGGAACTTCCCCCCTCCGACCTTTCCTCCTTGTCTGCCGACACCCCCGTGGGCGGGGCGGGGCCTCGGGGCCAGGGAACCGTCGGGCCCCTTGACCAAGGCCCCCTCCTCTTCCCCCGCCGCCGGGGCAGGTAGTGGGCCCGAGGCCGGCCCCTCCGTGCCCATCCTGCCCCTGCATCGCGCGGGGGGTGCGATGACACTGAAGGCCCCTCACCCTGTCGGTGGTTTCCCATGGGCATCCGCTTTCCGGGAACTCCCCCTTTCCCATCTGATCCTTGGGGCCCCCGTAGGCCGGGGCCACTGGAAACTCCAGCCCCGCCAAGGCGGCCACCGCCGCCACCAGGGGAACGAGCACGAAGCCGCCGAGGGCGAACATGGCCCCCGGCGGCCCGGGATGAGGGGTTCAACCCCTTCGAAAAAAAGGATGGCGCAGCCAAAGCGGCTGCGGGGAGAAAGGAGGAAGGAGAGAGAGCGGCAGGGGAGGAATTACCCCGTGAATATCAGCCGGCGTTGACTCCAAATGGATACGAGGACAGGAGGAGGACCGGAGGAGGATGGAAGGAGGACGAAAAGAGGACGGGAGCAGGACGGGAAGAGAACGGGAGGAGCAAATCAAACAAGCGCAAGCAAGCAAGCGGAAGCAAGCAAGCGCAAGCGCGCAATAACAAGCAAGCAAGAGCCAGCGATCAAGTGCTAGCAAGCAAGGGCAAGCAAGAGTATGCAAGCGAGAGCAAGCACGCAAGAGCAAGCAAGCAAGTGGCATTGGAAAAGGGGGGTCATTGGAAAAAGGGGGGCACTGGAATAAGGGGGGGTGCTAAAGACCAATTACTGATGATGAGTGAGGACTCATATAGAGCAGTAGGACATGCCTATGTGGAGAAAAAGGTAACCCCCCGAATTGAGACAATGATTAACATGATGATGGTGGTGACAATGAAGACGCTGGTGATGATGATGATGATGATGATGATGATGATGATGGTGATGATGGTGATGGTCATGATGATGGTGGTGCTAATGATGAGGGTAATGATGATGATGATGATGAAGATGATGATGATGAAGATGATGAAGATGACAGTAATGATGATGATGATGATGACGATGATGATGATGATGAAAATGATGACGATGATGATACTGAAGATGATGATGGTGATGAAGATGATGATGAAGACGATGAAGACGATGATGATGATGATGATGATGATGATGATGTTGATGATGATGATGATGATGATGATGGAGATGAAGATGAAGATGAAGGCGAAGATGATGATGATGATGATGATGATGATGATGATGATGATGATGATGATGGTGGTGATGATGATGATGATGATAATAATGATGATGATGATGATGATGGTGGTGGTAGTTGCGATGCTGAGTTTGATGGTGCATGTGCTGATTAGTATCATGGTGATGATGCTGATGGTGATGATGATGCTGCTTATGATGATGATGGTGGTGATGATGGGATGCTGCTACAAGAATGAGTATGGATGTGCGTGTACAGTTGGGTTGGGGGATTCAAGACGAGTAGGAGGTTGCCGGATCGTGATTGGCGTGCGATTCTAGCCTATGTCCCCCTGGGGGCGTGCCTGAATCGTCCCGAGCGGCCGCCCGAGGCCCGAATTACAACCCTAAGACCAGGACCCCTCGCGTCGCAACAAAAAAGTCAAATAAAAAAGTCGGGGGGGCCCTTGCCAGGCATATCAGGACCGTCAAACACGACTGACTCAGGGTGAAAAGCCGATCCCTGGAAGGGATGGAGAACTCCAGGGGTGCACGTTCAGAAAGAACCACGACGTCGGGGGTCTGGGGACGACGTCGACGACAACGACGACGACGACGACGACGACGACGAGGAGGACGAGACAAGGACGAGGACGAGGGCAATGGGCACGTCCCCGAAGAGGCCAGATGCACGGGCGAGGGGCAAAAAGCTACCCCAGCTGAGCTCTGAGGCCCTTTGAGGCCGGACGGCGTCTGAGGCGCAGGCCCACAAACTCCACACGACGGGGGTCTTCCTCGATCTGAGCCTCCAAGGGGGCCAGCTTGGAGGGCTCCACGAGGACCCCAAAGAGGGCCTCCGGAGGCAAGAATCTGTACTCTCTCTTCTCGGTTGTTGCCAATTTGGGCGCGCTCGACTTCTCGGGCTTCTGACACCCCAAGCTGGCCCCAGATGCCTCCAAGATGGCCCCAAGACGGCTCAAGAAGTCCCGAAGGCTTCGGCACCACCGAAAATCAGCCCAGGGTGGAAGTCACCCCTGGAGGTGGGGCCGGGAGAACTTCGGAGCGCTCCTCGTCGTGAAGGGAAATCGCGGCGTCGGAGGTCTGCGAAGAGCGAGTGCGAGAGAGAGAAAGAGAGGCATGAAAGAGGAAAGCCGACAGGACACGTATATTTGGTCATTCCTATCCACACTGGTCGCATTGCCGCATCCTCCTCTCCACCCATCCCTGTCGCGACAGAAAAATGCTCGTCTATCCTCTCGCTCCTCTGCCTCATCATCGCTACTGTCCCGCTGCAGCGAGGGTATACCATTGCCTGTTGAAGTGGATACTACGTCGACATAGGTGGAACCCCATTAAGCCTCTCAAGGGC